TATATATCCATATATATATATATATATATATATATGGTCAAAAATTAAATCCATTCTTACTTGCTTACTTGAGCAATATGAATGTATGCTTACATATTCTCTTGATTTTTGAGAGTATGGTTTTAAATTTCAAAATACACTGCTAGAATTTTCATTCTAAAATTATGGCAAAGTAACATGCAGCAGTCTGTCCAATAAATTAACCGTAAAGCTTTCGGCAAAGAAAATTTTTTATCTTTACGGTTTTGAAACCATTTACAACCAGCATGGTTTAAAGACCAAAAAAAAAAGAGAAATTTTACTGAACATGGAGATAGTTTAGCAGCTTTATAGTGCTACCATCTATGCGTAAATGAGAGTATTGTACTCTGAGAAACCAGAGTCACAAATTGGGGAGTGCAGGATACTAGAAACTCTTAATTCTTGAAAGGAATGGAGGAAATAAAGTAGTATAGACACTGGAACTTGAACACCTGTTCATGAGATTGACAGATTAGCCATCTCGGTTATAATATGTACCCAACTGCAATGAACTAAGCAGATTCATAAGCTGGGGCGATAAAATTCTGGTTGCTTAACCGTATTAGGTGAAATCAGCTAATAAACGATTTTTCTCTCAGTCAGCAGTTTGAATATCATCGAATTTAAGTTTATTTGACTGTTTTGTTTGAATTTGGAAAAATAATACCAAAATAAATTGTAGTTTACCATTTTAACAGAGAAATTTCTAACAGTGTACTTGAAATACTTATTTAAAAATATGGACCAGCTGGTCGTCGCAGGCGGCTAGATGTTTTGATAAGTATTAAGATAAAAAAATCATGCCTGCAAAGAAAAGGTGCGCTGTAAAGGTGGGTTCATGTCATTGAGATTTACATTTATAAAGTAGGAATGTTTTTCTGAAACTATCTGTTTTTAAGCATCACGATGTATTTTAACGTGACGATGTATTTTAAATGATTATCTCTACAGGATGACGAGATGAAAATGATAAGAAGAAAAAATTATATATATATGATACAAAGAAGATTATACATATATAGAAATAGCTTTTTTTTCACCTCATTTTAAGTGAGATTGTAATATAATTCATGTTTAAAAATGGCATTTATTAAATCTCAAACCTGGTTTCTAATTGTAATTGCTGCTTGCTTACTTTGTGGTAATGTCCATTTATTTTAATATTGAAAGAAATCATAGAATTAGTTTCTGGTTTGAAACATGTATGATAAACTGTTATGTATGTTTTATAATTTATATTTTTTATTCTCTATTGTATGAAATACTTCTGGTATCCAGTATAAACTCTTCCATTTTTATTTCAGACTCTGCAGTTTCGGATCTCTAATTGTCCTAAAAATATAAATTTAAGGTAGTTAAGGGACAAAGTACAGAATATTATAGATAAAATTTAATAAAATCATCTGTTTTAGATTTTCAATTTTTAAAGTATTAAAATTTTTGGCCCATATTGCTTTCAAAAAATAAGTTTATCTCTTGCTTGCCTTGAATTTCCTAAGAAATCTTTTAAAAGTATATAACATGACTTACATAATTTACTTAAACATATTTTTTAGTAATAGAATATAAAATATTGAAGCGTATGAATCGTAATAAAACTTAAATTAATGTCGCTAAATTTTGATATTTCAGTGCTCATTTATTTAAATTCATTAAAAGAATTTTAAAAGCAATCATAGCATTTTTTTAAAACGTTAAGTTTATTTTTCTCATTCGCTTTAGACTAAGAAATGCGTGGGCTGCATTTTCCCTTAAAGTAGTATGAATTAAACTAATTATACTTACAAATTGAGCTTATTAATTAAAAAATAAAGCTTATTAGTGAATATTAAATTCTTAAAATTCATTACGAATTAACAGAAATATTTCCTTAAAAACAAAACTTCAGTGATTAATACTTTAATTCAATAAAATTATTTCTTTATTCAGACCATTAGGACAACCCACAGGTAGAAAAAAATGATTCTCCATTACCCCGTTTATTTTATATTTTAAAACAAAATTGCAGGTAATTTGTATATTGCAGAATAAATACAGGAAATTAATGTAAGGACTATTTTATAGCTAATCTACTGTCGGCTGGTAAGTTAATGTTTCCTTTTCTTAATTTAATTTAATTTTGATAATAATAATCGATTTCAATTCAGATAAAGTTTACCCGTAATTAATATAAACATTAATATTGAAAAATATATATGCTGCATCGATTTAAAAATTAAATCAAACATCCAAAAATTCAAAATGTATTTATCACTGACCCATCAATTATTGATAAAATAAAAATAGATAGTTTTACATTTATATATATATATACGAGGGTCATCCAGAAAGTAAGTTTCCCTATTTATTTTAAAAAAAGAATTTACACTTTGAGGAACATATTTATTGACAACAAGTACAGCTATGTGTCAGCTATTTTTCAACATAGCCACCACCAAAATTGAGACACTTGTCGTATCGTGGGATCAACGTTTGTATTCCTCTGTCGTAGAACTCTGCCGCCTGTGAATGGAGCCAGCGTGGGACAAACGTCTTTAACGGAACTGTAAAAATTGCGACGTGTCATTCAAAGCAAGAGACGTGGAATGCTTACTGCAGGTGATGTGCTCCTCCATTACAATGCTCTTCCACATACGGCTCGACGCACAGCAGCTGTTTTGACGGAATTTTCTTGGAAGTTGTTGGATCATCCACCCTACAGCCCAAAGCTTGCTCCCAGCGATTTTCACGTTTTCTTAGACCTCAAGAAATTCCTGTCCTCCGGCGAACGTTTTGGCAACCGCGAAAAACTGAAGACGTCTGTCACACGCTGGTTCCATTCACAGGGGGCAAAGTTCTACGACAGAGGGATACAAAAGTTGATCTCACGATACGACAAGTATCTCAATTCTGGTGGTGGCTATGTTGAAAAATGGCTGGCACATTGTTATACTTGTTGCCAATAAATATGTTCCTGAAAGTGTGAGTTCTTTTTTTAAAAAAAAAATAGGGAAACTTACTTCCTGGATGCGCCTCGTATATATGTATATATANTATATATATATGGGTGTGTGTGTGTGTGTGCAGATTTCTTATAAACGATAAGATGTGTAAATGAAAAAATAGGGCTGATAACGTAACACTTGTTATGGCAAACCAAGGCCCACCTACTCAGGGGTGAATCTCTTATGGTTGCTTAAACATCAAATTTCAACTTTTTACATGAAACTTAAAATAAAACTTTAAATAAAAAGTAGGTGGAAATAAATGAATTTTGCTCCTTTGATTGATATTACGACAATAAATAGTTGAGGGAAAATTATTATTGATTTTAGGCAAATTGCTGATTAATGGGTAAAAATTGTTTATAATTTTTCTGCACTCGTAGAAGATTGAACCGTATGAATTTAAGCTTTCTTCAAATCTATAAAATTATTCCAATGGTTTCTTTATTCTGACCATTAGAACAATCCACAGATAGAGATAAATGTTTCTTCATTACCAAGTTTATTTTTTATTTTAAAACATAATTTCAGGTGCATATCAGAATAAATTTATGAAATTAATGTATTGACTACTTTATAGCTGATACCCCACCGGATCGTAAGTTAATGTTTCTTCTTCTTCTAAGTTTAATTTAATTTCAATTTTTAATTTAATTTAGTCGATTTCAAGCTAGAAAAAGATTACCCTTAAATAATATAAACATTCATATGAATACATTAATCTGCAACATCGACTTAAATACTGAAAAAAAATATTATATAGCCCAAAATGTATTTATCACAGACCAATGAATTGGTGATTAAACGGAAAAAAAATAGTTTTACATTTTTTGAAATAGATATTATATAGGTTAAGATACTGCGCCACTAAGCCACTACACATCAAGCAGCTGAATTGAAGTTAGCATACTATACCAACAGCTGTACAAGGAAAAATTAAATATATATAGAGAGAGAGATACTCTCAAGAGCCAAAACATTATGACCATCCCTACATTTTGCAATGAACTCTCCTGGGTGACGTGGAAGGCACGTGATAGGTGGAAGTGGTGTTTAACTGTTGCTCGAGAGTTTGAAGAATCATTCTTTCATTTACTTCTGTGTGTGATGGGAAAGGCTGCGGATCTAAGCGACTTTGATAGAGGGCAGCTTGTAATGGCTCGAAGGCTCGGAACAAGTATTTCCGAAACTACACGACTCGTGGGTTGTTCGTGATCTACAGTTGTTAGTACTTATGCAAAGTGGATGAATGACGATAAAACCAGCAATAGACGACATGGTGTTGGACGTCCACACGCTATCAAAGAGAAAGGTCACCGGAGATAGTCTCGCTTGGTGAAGCAAAACCGGAGCCAGACAGTGGCTCAGCTGACAGCCCAATACAATGCAGGGTCAAGTAGAATAGTATCAGAGCACACTGTTCAGCGGATACTGTTGGATATGGGGCTACACAGCAAACGTCCCACTCGTGTGCCTTTGCTAACCAAGCGTCTTCGCAAACTACGCCTGCGCTGTGCCCGGGAACATCGCGACTGGTCTGTGAATCAGTGGGAGAGAGTTGCCTGGTTAGATGAATCACGATATATGTCACGATTTGTCATTCATCACGCCGATGCCCGTGTCAGGATACGTCGTCTTCCAGGTGAACAGTTGTTCCCTCAATGTACAGTAGGGCATACACAGGCCGGTGGTGGCGGTATTATGGGGGACGTTCTCTTGGGCGTCTCTTAGACCCGTGGTTGTGGTAGAGCAGACCATGAATGCTACAGGGTATCTGAATATCATTGTGTACCAGTTGCACCCTTACATGGCCTGTTTTTCCAGCTGGAAATGGAATTTCCCAACAGGACAACGTCCCCTGTCACAAGGTTCAAATTGTGTTGGAGTGGTTCCAGGAACATGATGCTGAATTCCAGTTAATGTCCTGGCCGCCTAACTCACTGGATCTCTATCCGAAAGAAAACATTTATATGTCATGGAACGGCAGCTCAGAGTTCAAAGACCATTAAGTCGCAATATCTTGGATTTGCGCGACCGTTGCTTAAACATCTGGCACATTCTGCCTGCGGTCATCTACCAAGAACTTGTGGCATCCATGCCAAGGCGTGTTGCAGCTGTGTTGCGGGTAAAAGGTGGGCCAACTCGTTATTAATTTATATATATATATATANTCGAAGTAACTTAATAATGTTTAATGAAATGCATTAAAGAAGGAATCCTGCTTAATATTGTCTTAAAGTAAACAAACAAAAATAAAAAACTACACTGGAGTGATAGAGAAGAAGGGAGGGGGGTGAGTGATAGCAGTAGAGAGTCAGCAAATAGTATTGCATTCCTGGAGAATTGCTTTAAACGGGAAAACCTTTTCCCTCCAGCATAGCCCAGGTGAGGTGAGGCTTTAAAGCGAAGCAATTTCGCGCCGCAATTCATTGTCCACTCTATCAAGAGGGTCAGCCGCTGCCGTCCCTTTCAATTTAGGGGCTGTCCGCAGTGGACGGTGTATATGTCGTGGCCGCAATTAAGGACCGGCTCTAAATCATTTCGATTTGCTGTAATTAAGGTCTCTCGGCAACAATTGAAGGCCTTGCGGTTCTTCGCCCACAAAGGCCTGTCCGAATTCATGTTGATTAGTGGCTTCGGATAAGGAAATTTAACTGTATTCAATGTTCGATAGAGAAACTTTCCCAACTATTCGTGGGTTGTTTCTTAGTGCAATTAAGATAATTAAGCAAACATTTGTTATACATTTTATTCTTCGTTTAATGGGAATATATTAAAAATACTAAGACTTAATTAAAAACTATTGAAGTGCGCATATTACTTATCTTTTTAAAATTCATTACAGGTATTTATTTAAGATAAATCAGCAATTTATTTCTGAAATCATCGAAAAACTTATGGCATTTAAATTGAAAATCTTGCAGCAATATGTCACATTCCGAATTGTTAAGGAAAGCATTTCTAGTGAGATTAAATAAATAAAAAACAAAGACGCAATTACTTAAATATAATTAAAAATGTGAATCTTTCATTTTTTGAAATTCATGTAAGGCTTTTTATTAGATAAATAAGAGATGTAGGTATAAGAGGTAGTAACAATATGCCACCTTTCAAATTCTACGAGAGATCATTTTTGATGAAAGACTTCATGATTTCTAAGCAGACAATAAGAGTTTTTTTGTTTGTTGTTATCTGATGAGGATTCCGAGAACTTAAGTACCTTTCTGGAACTTCCAGTAAAAATATCTATGTTAACGTTTGATCTCATGGCTCAAGTCAATTTTGTTTAAGAAGATAGCTAATTTATGTCTATATATATATATATATGTTCAAAATGAAGAATAAAACAAAGAAAAATTAAAGACAAGTGAAAGAAGGGGGAAAAATAAGTAAAAAAATAACAAATAACAGTTTAAAAGAAAAAAGAAAGAAATTTTTTTTTAAAAAACCGGAAAAAAGATATAATCTTTTCATCAGCCCACACGATTATATCCGTAAAACAGAGTGCTTTCTGATATTGTATCAATAAAGCCAAAGCAAAATATATTAATACAATAGAGTAAGGAGCACTCAAAATTTTTTTTTATGAAAATTACAACAAATAAAATAGAACACAAAAAGTAAAAATAAGTAAAAATAACATGTAAAAACAGAAAATAAAATAAAAGAAAAAGAAAAAACAGTAAAAATGGACTATAAAGCGAGTAGCAAAATCAGATCAACTTACATGGACGGAAATTTTTCAAGAATAATTTAAAAATGTTTTTGCAGAAAGATTGCCAGATTACAAAATATGAAAACAGAAACGCAAATTGAGTGTAACAAGAGGGTTTTAAAGTGTCGCTCTTACTGCACTGCTGCAGTGATTTGTTATTCTGTGCATTGATTTGTTAGTTACCACGGATGGGCCCGAAATGGATGTGCGCAAGCTTATACTATAATTTTAAAAATTGACCATAAATAGTTTTAGAAAATAGATGTTTATTTAAGAAAAAATATAAAATAGAAACATAATTTGCCTGTTTTGCAAATAATTTTAGCCACGGATTTGCACGAAATGGATTAGCACATGGAAAAATTACATAAATTATCAAAGAAAATCATTTTAATAGATAATTTTAACACGGATTTGCCCGAAATGGATTTACACATGGAAAAATTAGCAAAGAAAAAAATTTTAGTAGATAATTTTTGTCTCAAATAAACATCTATTTTCTAAAACTATTTATGGTCAATTTTTAAAATTATCCAGTATAATATTACTGTGGCGTTTTTGAATTGCCTCTTTAGGTGTGGCCATATCGTATAGTTATTGTTAATACATTAAATTAAGGAAACTACTCGTCTTAAATTTAAAACAGTAACATTTTATTATTTAAACAATTTAAGAAATAACATAACTATATTAAACTAATTTAGAATTAACCTAATTATTTTAGAATTAGAATATACAATTAAAACAACCTATTATTTTACATTAATTCTTTCGTGCTTTTAGAATAGATGGACAGAGACTTACCAAGTTTTGCCATGGTTTCGGTTTTAGCCTTTTGTCACTTTGGCTGATTGCTTCTGATTGCTTTTTGAACCCTTTCCTTCGGCTGCTTTTGTATCGTATTTTTTGGGGGATAAAAAGTTACAAATCTGAGGAAAGGTCAAGTCCAAAAGTTATTGTTGTTTTCGAGTTTGTCCCGTGATGGGGTCAATCCCATGATGGGGGTGACATTGTAAGATTTAAACCTAATCGTTTATTTGAATTACTTTATCCGTATTTAAGTTACTATTTGCCGATGGAGATTTCAAGCGGTAGTTTTATTTAATCGAAGACTCTGAAGTGTTCTAGAAATCTAATTTTAGCCCTTTCTCTTGATTTTAATTTTGAGTGACGATAGGCGTCACATCACCTTGCGCACATCCATTTCGGGCCCATCCTTGGTAACTAACAAATCATTGCACAGAATAACAAATCACTTCAGCAGTGCAGTAAGAACGACTCTTTAAAACCCTCTTGTTACACTCAATTTGCGCTTCTGTTTTCATATTTTGTAATCTGGCAATCTTTCTGCGAAAACATTTTTAAATCATTCTTGAAAAATANAGGCTTATTTAAAAACTGGAATTTTCTCATTGATTTAGCGGAAACCATTACTTAAATTTTTTAAGTAATTGGTACTTGCAGATCAAAAAGAAATGGTGATTATGCCGAACCATGCAATTTAAATCAGATTTAATTGGATACATATAAGTGACGTCACGTGTATATGTGGAGCCTGCTTGGCTTCTAATTTAACAAGTGCCTCACTTTTTTTTTTTGCTCATCTAATCAAAATGTAAAATAATCATCTTAAAAGTTATATTTTAAGAAAAAAAATGCTGCCATTATGACCACTAACCCAAAGAATTTTCTCCGCCCGCTTATGCATTAGAATGCACCAACAATTGAATGAAATGGGATGAAATTTGCGTATTTTTTGAGATACATTTAAGAAATATATCAATAGTAAAATGCTATTTATAAATCTTTGAGTTGTATTAGGTCAATATATATATATATATGTATATATATATATAATATATAAAAATTTATGGTGCTGCTAAAAATAGAGTGCAAAAGACATACTTCTTGTAGATGATCTGAAACATTATCGCCATATTTTGTATTGATCTCGTCTAGATAATGTAGAGATGATTTGATTGTGTTGGAATGGCATTTAACTGTTGCTGAAGAAGTAAAAGAAATCAATTTTACTCTTTTCTTCTACAAATGAGGGAAAAGGTCACAAAATTAAGTCAATATTAGAGAAGGCAGATCGCAATGATCCGAAGGTACACGCCATGTTATTGGACGTTTGCACAAAAAGAGACGCCGGAGACTGTCCAGCTTTCTAAGACAAATTTGAAGCCTGGTCAGATAATGGCTCTGTTGTCAGTCCAGTTTTTTTCATTCCGATAACTCTTTTGTAGGTACGCTAATTTCCATGACAATGAGTTTATGAGTTAAAATATAAATTTTAGGTAGTTAAAAGACACAGTACAGAATATTATAGATAAAATTAAATAAAAACATCTGTTTTAGATTTTCAATTTATAAAGCATCAAATGTTTTGGTACATATTGCCTTCAAAAAATAAATTTATCTGTTGCGGACTTTGAATTTCCTTTGAAATCTTTTGAAAGTATATAACATTTCTAATATAATTAATTAAAAAATATTTTTAATTAATGGAATATAAAATATCGAGGATAATGAATAATTCTAAAACTTAAACTAATGTCTTTATATTTTGATAATTCAGTATTTATATATTTAAATTCATTGAAAAGAACCTAAAAGCACTCAGATCATTTAAAATGTTAAGTTAATTTTTCTAATTCACTTTCGACTGCGAAGTATGCGGATTGCATTTTCATTTATAGTCGTATCAATAAAGCTTATAATGTTTACAAAATTAGCTTATTAATTAATAAAGTATGCTTATTAGTTAACAATGAATTTTTAAAATTTATTAGAATTAACAGAATTGTCTTAAAGCAAAACTATAATGATTTATATTTCAACTATAATTCAAACAAATAAATTCAGTTCAAATTGAGCTTAAGAGATATTTGATATTTTTCGGGTATTCAATTGTAAGTAAATTCTATTTCAATACTATTTTATATTGTCAATACTATTTTAATTCTATCATTAGTTCATTTATTCAATTATATTTTGGAACACAAAACAAAATGGATCTTCCTAATAATAATTTTTTTAAATAAATAGTTAAAATTTGATGAATTTATATGTGCCCTATTAAAATACCTATATGTATGCATGTGCAGAATTCTTATGAATAATTAGATGCGTAAATTAAAAAAATGAGGCAGATGACGTAAGCCGTATGAATATAGAACAGTATGAAGACAGAACCGTATGAATGTAAGCTTTCTTTCAAATTTTTCCAATGATTTCTTTATTCAGACCATTAGAACAATCAACAGATGGAAATAATAATTCTCCATTACCCCGCTTATTTTTCATAATTGCTCGTACATTGTATAATCAGAATAAATACAAGAAATTAATGTATCGACTACTTTATAGCTATATTTTTGCCTGGTAAGTTATTGTTTCTCTCTATTAATTTAATTTTATTTTCATAATAATGTTTGATATCAATTCAGATAAAAATTCCTCGTATTCAATATGTAAACATTAATATTTATAAATTTATCTGCAGCATCGATTTAAATATTAAAAAAAATTATTATATAAACCAAAATGTATTTTTCCCAGATCCACCAATTACTGATAAAATAAAAATGAAATAACTTCTCTTTTTTTGTGTGTAACAGTTAAGATATTGAGAAATTACACAGAGCTTTATCAAGTAACTGAATTGAAGACAGCATACTATACCAAAAGCCGTACCAGGAAAAGTTAAATATGCAATATATATATATATATATATCCAGTATAATATTACCTTGTGCACATCCATTTCGGGCCCATCCTTGGTAACTAACAAATCAAAACTCAGAATAACAAATCACTTCAGCAGTGCAGTAAGAACGACACTTTAGAACCCTTTTGTTACACTCAATTTGCGCTTTTGTTTTCATCTTTTGTTTTCATATTTTGTAATCTGGCAATCTTTCTGCGAAAACATTTTTAAATCATTCTTGAAAAATAACTGTCCATGTAAGTTGTTATGATTTTGCTACTCGCTTTATAGTCCCCCCTTTT